GAGTGTGTATGTGCTCTAAGCAGTGAAATCCAGTGCTTAATACAGCCTATATACTCTACTCTGGTGAATATAGCCCAACTATACGCCATCACACACGTGTGACTGCAAAGTGTACGTGTGTGGGGGTATCGCATGCGCATGTGTTGGCCATTAGCCGGTGTATATGTGTATATATGTGTATACGCGTGTACATATGCGTATATGTGTGTATATATGTGTATATACGTATATATGTGTATATATATGTGTTTCTCTTCATTGCTTCATTTGAGACGATTCACGACCTTTGTATGTGATCTTCTACACGGTTAGTGCATATGGGGTTGTCCTAGTTGCCTTTGCTGCAATTGAGTGACATTTCAAAACATGCTCGGCCTTTGTGCTCAAGTCCTAATAGAATGACACCATCGCGACAAACATAAACCCTAAACCCTACTGTACTGGCGGTGCTTAGTTTTAGCTACGCCATAGATAACGCGCTTATCGTGCTGGCTGCCACAGCATTCAAGTGTAGTCAGCGATCACACGTTTGCAGTACAGATACAAACCGGCGAATACAACAATGGTGTGCGGTTGTGGTACAAGTGTTGTCATGCAGAAGCTTCGAACGGGTTGGAGGTGGCATTAATATGGCAAGATCTGATGTATCTACTATTCACCATTGAACCCAGGTGTGGGCTGGTCCAGAACCTTGTGTTCAATTTATAGCTCTCTTCACGACTGAAAGAACTCCGTACGAGTCATCAACTCACACGTCCTGTCTATTAACCGCAGGAAGGGCTGGGCGACTACAGCGACAGCGATGTCGAGTGTCTGCAAACACTCCACGCCATTCTCAGCCACAAAGACTCGGCCAACTGGCCCCCGGCTGTGGTGCTTATGCTGACAACCAACGTGGACAAGGCCGCGGGCTGTCATGGCAACCGTGACGAGAAGGTATGCCATTCGCCCGTGAGCCATACTATTTTAAGTACACGTCCTGAATACACAGTATCTTAAGCCGCATATAGCAGCCATAGCAACATAGGAGCGTATCTAACCACTGCCGTGCAGCTCTTATTTTGTTGTTCTTCGAGAGCACAGGTGTTGTCCGGTATCGACTCGGAGCGGACCGATTATATATACAAAGAGATATTATTTTCTGGTATAGTGTGCAAGTAAACATCGTGTATATATCTACGGACATGATGATACAGTACGGCACTTTAGACACTTTAGACATTGTGATCGACTCTTTCCCACAGCTGCAAAGTTTAAGATGTGGCTGCTGCACCTGTATATCAGTCGCGTCAGTCCAGTAGTCCACTCTGGCGGCAGAGGTAACAGGATAGTTCACACGCGAATAGTATCAGAATCAGGACCCATATGTATCATATTTAGGTATTGGTAAAATATATTCATATATTAGATCATGTATTTAGAGTCGACCTGGTCTGTGGCGACACTGAGATGAGCATCCTTTCCGCTCCTGGCAACTGTAGCAGAATGCCAAAGCTGAACACACTACACACGCGATCCTCTTTATATTTACTAGTACATATGGTATACACCTACACAGCTATAGTCCCACTATAGGCCTATACTGTAACCTTCGTCTTGCAGATTACATGTACTTTCTACACATGACTTGTAGTGTGTGCATGCTTATTGTAGTACTGTATCATTATTATATATATGATCATACATACGTTATACACCTACACAGCTATAGTCTAACTATATGCCTATACTATAGTTTTCGTCCGGCAGATCATACATACCTTATACACCTGACTTAGAAGGTATGTATAATTTCTATACTAATATATTATTATTATATATATAATCATACATACCTTCTATACCTGACTTATAAGGTATGTATGATTTCTATACTAATATATTGTTATTATATATATGATCATACATACCTTATACACATGACTTATAAGGTATGTATGATTTCTATACTAATATACTATTATTATATATATGATCATACATACCTTCTATACCTGACTTATAAGGTATGTATGATTTCTATACTATATTATTATTAATTTCTATACTAATATGTTATTATTATATATATGATCTTACATACCTTCTATACCTGACTTATAAGGTATGTATGATTTCTATACTAATATTATTATTAATTCCTATACTAATATATTATTATTATATATATGATCATACATACCTTCTATACCTGACTTATATGGAATGTATGATTTCTATACTGATATATTAATATTATATATATAATCATACATACCTTATACACCTGACTTATAAGGTATGTATGATTTCTAGGCTAATACATTAAATATTATATATATGATTATACATACCTTATACACCTGACTTATAAGGTATGCATGATTTATATACTAATATATTATTAATATATATATGAACATACATACCTTTTACCTGACTTATAAGGTATGTATGATTTCTATACTAATATATTATTATTATATATATGAACATACTTACCCTCTATACCTGACTTATAAGGTATGTATGATTTCTATACTAATATATTAATATTATATATATGATCATACATGCCTTCTATATCTGACTTATAAGGTATGTATGATTTCTTTACTAATATATTATTATTATATATATGATTATACATACCTTATACACCTGACTTTTAAAATTTGTATGATTTCTATGCAAATATACTATTAATAAATATATGATCATACATAACTTACACACCTACACAATTATAGGCTAGCTATAGGTCTATACTATAGCCTTCGTTTTGCAGATCATACATACCTTAGTGTCGATTTCGCGGGCATTGCGATAGCGGAGTGCTTGAAGTGTAACAGTTCTGTTTCGTATAATCGGAGTGTAACAGTTGAATTCCAATCAGAATTTAACTGTGCTGTGCTAAACAGGTCTACATGATTGAAATTTAAATTAAAACTAACCGTTCCATTTTAACCTAATTCTCACAGTTCGATAACAAATAATTTTAACAGTTCTGATACAAATGTAAATTTAACAGTTACAATATATTCAAAATCGAACCGTTCTATTTTAACATAAATGTAACAATTCTGTTACAATGTTAAATTCAATAGTTCAGTTATGCTTGCAATTTAACCGATCTATTACGACCGGTCCCAAATCCAGACCCGGCAACCTTCACCGCAACGCAGGACCAGATTTGGCCTCACCAGCAGAATAGAAGCACTCCTCAAGGTATCACATATGGAGAAGACAATTCAACGGTGCACAGACATGTGTTTCCTGCTGTGGCAGAGACAGCTAGTACGCATCTACATCAAACGGACTGTTACATCGACCCCGCAGGCCAAAACGGACAAGCGAATGACCGCAAAAGGAGACGAACAAGTGGGCCTAAACGAGGGCCAAAGGGGGGTGGCTGTGTTGTCTGTCCTATTGGGTGCGGTCGCGGATGGGATGGGGGTGTGTGCTCACGCCCAGCACATTGCTCCCGGTCTATTAATAGAACAGCAGCACGCGCATGTGGTGAAGGTGCTGGACGAGTGTCTACTGCAGCCGCTGCCAAAACACGTCGAGGTATCTGTGCGACAGCAAACAGAACACTTCAGTGTGAAATAAAAACGGCCACAGCCGCGTGGACGCGAGGCAGCCCCGACACTATACTCCCCCCGGCTATTTTGTTTGTAGGGTTTAGGGTTTGAAGGTTTAGGGTTTCAGGGGTTCTTTTTAGAACGACAGTTCATATGCGTGGTAGAGGAATTGGGCGAGTGCCTCATACGACCGTTGGCGAAACACGTAGAGCAGCGTGTGGCGTAACCAAGCAACGCTCTCCGATCATAATGCAGAATATAACATGCAATAACATAGCCCTTTAAATTGATAGAGGGCTATGGCAACACCACTGCAGCAGCCGAGGTAGATGACAGGGCATGAGATCTCAGTTCACAATAGAAATTGAACAAATTTTTATGAACGGGTAGTAGCACTTGTCATTCTAGAAGTAAGTAGCGTTGTAGAAAGGACAGATAAGACAGACAGCAGGTATTTAGAGTGCAATGGTAGGCATACACATCCCCTGTAG